CGCAGTAGGCCCAGCTGAAGCACCACTGCAGCTGATGCCATACAGCCCAACATCCTTTGAAATGATTTCAAAGGGAGAAAGCTGCCCTTCTGGAAAGATGCGGCTAGGTGGCGAACACGACGCGCGCGCTGTGTCGATAAACGAGCCGTCATGGCCACAGAATTCAGTTCTATTCCTAAAAAGGAAATTGACTGGCTGGGCAGTAATGAGCTCTTGGTCCAGTTGACCGTGAGACCCAAGCTTTCCAGGTGACTGAGAAGCACTGTTCTGTGAGATAACAGCTCTGTCTCTGACTGTGCCAAAATCAGCCAATCGTCCAGATAGTTCATTATTTGCAGCCCCTGACTTCTCAGGGGGGCGAGCGCCGCGTCCATGCACTTCGTAAATGTACGGGGTGCTGGAGACAGGCCGAACGGCAGGACGGTGTATTAATATACCTGACCGTCGAAGGCGAATCTCAAAAATTGCCTGTGACGGGGTATTATCTGAATGTGAAAATAGGCATCCTTCAGATCTAGAGAAATAAACCAGTCCCTCGGGCGAACGTGCGTGAGGATTTTCCTGGTCGTAAGCATTTTGAAGGGTCTTTTCGCAAGCACTTTGTTCAAATGTCTCAGATCTAGGATAGGTCTGAAGGCTCCGTCCTTCTTGGGTACGAGAAAATATCGGCTGTAAAAGCCTGACTCGCTCAGAGAAGGCGGTACCTTTTCTATAGCCCCTTTGCACAGCAGATTTGCTATTTCTGCGTGAAGTAGGTATGCTACTTCCGCATGCACTATCGTCGCGGTCCGGGCTCGAAAGCGCGGGGGACGGCGAATTAATTGAAGTGTATAGCCCTGCTTTATTGTGCTCAGCACCCATTCTGAAATCCCTGGGATAGCTTCCCACGCAGCTATGTGAGCCGCTAGGGGGCGAATGGCCTCCGGGTTCAAATCGCCGCCATTTGCGGGCTTGTGAAACTGAACCGGAGCCGAAAGCGCGGAGCGCGCGCTCTCGGTTCTGGGCAATGGCAGCTCGCTGAAGGCCGAAACCGGCTGATTTATGTGAGATGTCCCAATCATAAGGGATGGGGAACCTCTTCTTCTCACTTTTTGACGCGTGAGCTGCGCTCTGGGCGGAAAAGCTTCCTGTAAGCGTGAGCGCATGTGCGCGGGCACGAGACTTACAAGTGTATTTGACGCCCCGATCGTAATGGATGGGGAGCGTCTTATTAATGCCCTGCGTTTTGTGATAACACTCAAACGCGCGGGCGGCACCCGGGGAGAGGTTTGTGTTAGTAAGCGTGAACGGTCTCTGGCGGGCACGAGACTTACATTCATAACCTGCTTTCTTGACCGTGTAACAGAGCGGGCAGATAGTGGGCACAGACCTGTGGACACATTTCTTACATTCAACACTCGAGTGGCTTTTCTGCGCTTTATGAGAGTGTGCTCTGTGGGTGACACGAGATTTGAAGTGCTTGTGTGTAGGGTGAACACTGGGGCGTGGGCACTTTCACTACACTTAAAACACAGACGGCGTGAGCCGGACCAGACATAATACTCTTTTTGAGATTTCTCTGGGTCGCCGTGAAAACGGCGTTTGTGTGCAGGCGAGAGGGTGAACAAACCGGGTCGTTGGCTGCTAAATGAACCACTGCAGTAGCCTGTTTAAAGGGGACTGACAGGGAAACAAGCTTTGACGGCGGTCCGGCCGCAGCGGGACACGCGCGTCTTTTCTCTCTCTTTGGTAGGAGGGCTTCGCGTGCTCAGGCTTCAGCGTGATCTTTTGCCGAGGCCCTCTGGGGAGCGGCGGTCTGTGACGGCTGTCTGAGCGCGACCTAGGGCGGCCGCCCTGACGTCGCTGCGAAGGCTGAGGTTGTGCTGGACGCTGGGCGCTAGCTCGCACAGGAGGCTGGCTTTGTTTCTTGCGAGAGCGGCCTGTAGCGGAGCTCGAGCGTCGCGGCAGGAAGAGGTTCATGGCCTGCGTGGTCTTCTGTACCTCAGAAAAACGGTCAACGATCCCGTTTACCGCTGGGCCGAAGAGACCAGTGGGGGAGAGCGGCGGGTTCAGGAAGGTGGCTCGCTCAGTTTCCCTCATATCCGCGAGCGTCAACCAGAGGTGCCTCTCTGTTACAGTCAACGCGGCCATGGCTCGTTCGATGGCTTGAGCTGCGGTTTTGGTGGCGCGGAGAGAGAGATCCGTCGCGCTTCTCAGATCTGTAACCGCAGCTGGATCCTTCTCATCCCATTCACAGAGGAGGTCGGCTTGCAGGATCTGTAGCACAGCCATGGAGTGGAGAGCAGACGCGGCCTGGCCGGAGGCGGCATATGCGCGGCCGACCAAGGCGGACGTGGCTCTGCAGGCTTTAGACGGGAGGGCTGACCGTGACCGCCATCTCGAGGAGGGCGGGCAAAGGTGCGCTGCGACTGCCTCTTCCACAGGGGGAATAGCCGTGTACCCTTTCTCGGCGGCGCCGTCCACTTGGGAGAGCGACGCGGAGGCCTAGGACTGAAGTCTCGAGGAGAATGGTGCATTCCATGACTTCGTCAGCTCTGTGTGAAGTTCCGGCAGGAACGGAGCGGGCATGCTCACTGAAGCTGCAAGGCGGCGACTCTGAAGGAAACAGCCGTCGAGCCTGTTCGGCGCGGGTTCCTTTGGCAGCGACCACTCGAGCCCGAGACGGTCGACAGCCTGCCTTAGCAGGCGCATCAGTTCCGCGTCAGCTCCAGCGCGGGAACGGCTGGATTCCTTGATCGACGAGGAGGCGGAGTGAAGCGACCATTCCTCGCTGTCTGATGCCAGGATGGAGCAGCAGTCTCTCGTGGCGTGTCCCTCGGCCTCATCCTCAGATGCGACGGCAGTGAGGCTCGTGAGCGGCAGCAGCGCGTCGGTGAGGGGAGGCGGGGAAGGCGAAAGCGAGGCTCGAGGGAGGTTCTCCGGCGAGCGCGTCGCTGTGGCCACGGGCTCCGGCTGTCTCAGGGAACGGTGCTTCTTTCTGCGCGGTCCCACAGAGGGCGGAGTGGCTGCTTCGGGGTAGAAGGCTTCGAGTCGAGCCCGCAGGGTCGACAGCGGAAGCGCTTCACAGAGCTCGCAGACCCCGGACGCGAGGGCGAGCTCTGCATGTTCCAGGCCCAGGCAGAGAGCGCAGATCACATGGCGGTCTCCGACGCTGAGCGGGGCCCTGCACGAGCCGCAGGAAGTGCGAGGCATCTTTAAAAAGACACTCGCGCTCTTTTAGGAATAGTTTGCAAGGTAAAAAAGGATACGTCGCCGGATAGCGTAGCTTGCACGGATGGCTGAAGGTGGCGAAGACGGCCGGCTTCCTCAGCGCTGTCTTAAGCTGGCTGTTCGCTGTTCGACAGCGGCGGTGGCTTCTCTCAGATCCAGCGATGCGAAGAGCTCGCTGAAGAGATGGAAAATCAGGGAAGTCAGCCTACAGCCCCTACTTTTATACGCTAAGCCTCGCCCATTCTGGCGGGCTATGACGCTATAGCTGCTGCACTGCGTTGACAATGAATACAAAATTAAGGATAATTTTTTGGCTTCAATATCTAGAGAAGATGAATCTTTCCCGTAGCGTAAGCTAAACTTACGCAATACGAGAGAACCTCTCGTAAGAGAAATATATATATTACGCCATATATTATGTTTCTAGTATTTTAGTTTTAATGAAAAACCAGGGGACCCCCCAAGGTAATTTTTTGGGCCTTATGGCTATGGGAGGTCCCTTGATGCTAATGGGAGGTCCGGGACCCCCCAGCAAATTCGAACACCCCATCTCAATTCGAACACTGAGTAAAGCCCTAGTCTTGATGTCTAGGCTTGATGTCTGTGGCATTCTTTATTCTCAATAAAGAATCCTTCTGAAGACACACCGAGTCTCCTGGGCTTTGCTTTCTGAGTCAGTTATTCACCATTTCCTTTCCCAGCATTACACATCTTTTGAAATTTCAATCTTGATGCCTAAAAGTTGTTTTTTTTTAAAGGGACAGCTCACCCAAAAGTAGAGCTCTGTCATCAATTACGCGCTCTCATGTCATTCAAAACCTGTATGACTTGCTTTCGTCTGTGGAACACACGAGGAGAACTTGTTCCAGTTGCTCTTTTCCACGCAATTAGTCCATGTGGGGATGCACATGCACCATATGAGTAAATGGTTTAAAGTTAAAGGTGCTCTAAGCGATGTCACGCGTTTTTTAGGCCAAAACATTTTTTGTCACATACAGCAAACATCTCCTCACTAACCGCTGGCTGCCTGTCCCCTGAACACACTGTAAAGAAACGCGATCTCTGTAGACAACCCAGGCTTCACAAACAGCAACAAAAGCAAACTGCGGCGACCCGCTCCCCAAAACATAACAAACTGTTCCAGCCAATGACCGACAAGAAGGGTTTGGGGGCGGGGTTTGGGGGGTTAGTGTGCGGATGAGGAGGAGGGAGGGTCTAGCTAGCCTCCGTTTTGTTTGACAATAGTTCGAACGTCAACAAGAAGTGACGTAACCCAGGATCGCTTAGAGAACCTTTAAATGGGATTGGAGACACGAGGGTGTTTAAATAACAACAGTATTTTCATTTTCGGGGCAAGTAATTCTTTGCACATACTTCTGCCCTGACATCTATTATTATTTTATTAAAGTCATATAGAGGAGAGAAGCAGCATGTGACTCAAAAACAATGCAGTAATGCACATCTATGACAAGACAGAGACATGGACAAAAAAAAAAAAATCAATCAAACTAACCAGCTAACGTGGGATTGCTTTATTGTAAATGAGTAGTTTTAAGGACAAACACACTGCTAATGTTAACTGTTCCACGTTCTACAAAGCACTGAAGTCTCATTTGTTCTGCACAAATATTGTTGTTAGATTCCTTTTATCATTCCTTTTACCCAGCAAATCCTTAGATTAATTATTTGCTTCTGACATAAAGACATCACTTAGAATGTGGCTTAGAATCTGCCCTGTTTACACATTTTATTGATTTATTTATCTATATACACTCCATATATATATGTCTGAATATCAAGACAATTTAAATCTTGAACTGACATAAAAGAAAATGAACTCTTTTCTTTTTTTAAGAATTATTGATATTTTCCATTCAAGATGTCATGGTCAGTTTGCCAGGGCAAAATGTGCAAAGAGAACATGATTAATGCATCAAGTTTATTTTGTGCAATAATACTTAAAATATTTTCATGTTTCATAGGCTATATCATGTCAAAGGACCACCTGTCAGATCATTAATTTTCTTCTTTTAGTACTATATCCTGGTTGTAGACACCTTTGAGCACTTAACATGCCCTTTAAAATGTATTATAATATCACTACTGAATGAGAAAAAGCAACCTGCTGATATTTTGTCTCTCCATTTATAGTTTGTATTGAATAAATAATTAACTCCACATCTTGGTTTCTTGGTTCTTTTTATGTGTCTTTCCATCAAGTTGGAAACTTTAAAGAATGTTGATTTTTCTGTTTGACTGAGATCACTTGTGACACCCTGCTGAAAAGATCACCAGAGATAATCACCAGCATATGTTTTGGCTACTGGTCTCAGCAGGCTTCTTAGGCTAGACCAACACCACTCCAGCACGGACCAGGATGCCGGTCTAAGTAGGTCTTTTCAGCAGGGCCAAAATGCATTGTCGGTCACTTACTTTTTGCTGTCTATAAAATAAGAGAATTATGAGCAGAAGTCCACCGCACCCTAGTGTAATTATGAGCAGGGTGCCAAAAGAGATGGTTAAAATGCTGGATTGTTCTATGGTAGAGTTCCTCTGTGTTTCTCTGTCTGGATGAGTCTGGTCCGTCATTCCCTGCCTGTCCTCCTGGGATCTGCTGTCTGTTAAAAGCAATGGTATCTTTGGTGAATCATCACAGAATTGGAAACACATGACTCAAGCTACCTTGAACGCATTCTTCTCTGCCTGATGCGTCTCATCTGCCTGATGTGTTGAAGTCTACTATTCAGGGTTAATATTGTTACCTAACTAAAACTATTTTATTTTTGTTATTGAAATGAAGTTGATATAAAATTAAATACAAATATTAGATGAAAAACTTTAAATGAAAATTAGAAATGCTAGATTTTTTAAATTACTAAGTGGATATATATATATATATATATATATATATATATATATATATATATATAGAGAGAGAGAGAGAGAGAGAGAGAGAGAGAGAGAGAGAGAGAGAGAGAGAGAGATTTCTTATAAACATGATATACACACTAAAAATACCAATTGGAAATTAATAAAAACTAAAATATACATACATACTACAGGTATGACAAAAATGACAAAGGCACAATACAAAATTACTATTTAAAATGAAACTGAAAATATTAAAATATTAAAACATTGAAACTTTAATAAAAACTATAATAGTATATATAAAAATGAATAAATATAATATATTTATACTCTATCTTACTTCCTCACCCTTGCTGAGCTTTGTCTCATGGATGGTTCCCATGAAATTCCTTGGCACCCTCACCGGACTTTGGGTGGGAGTTTGGAAATTTTCAGGAGGGCTGTTTAGATGACCTGGCTGTTCAACAAGGATGCTCAGGCCTTCTGATGAATGTGCAGCTGCTTTCAAAGAAGACAGAACTGTGGTTGTGACTGGTACAATGTGTTTACTTATTTGAAGCATCTGGAAAGATTGGCCTTTTTTCTCTCTGCTCTTCATATCTTTATATGTTGGCTGAGATGTTGCAGTAATCCAGTTCTGGGATAATTTCACATAGGAACTGAATGGTCCTTCCTGGCTTTTGGAATCTAAAGACCTCTTTGCAAGTAAAAGCGGCGTGCTCCTCTCCACACCGTCCTGTGCGTTATCTCTTGTGCTTTTTTGATAGGGGCCAGACGCGGTCGACTGAACAGTTGAGTCAGTTCTGCTTGGAAATACATCCTTATAATTTGTAAATGAAGGGAACAGATCAGATGATGGCATATTCTCCATCTCTGAATTTGAAGTTTCTTCATGTAAAGCTGGAGTGCTACTAAAGAGGAAGTTGTATAAATCTCCTTGCATTGACCTCCATGTGGTAGGTGTCCCTGGAGATAGTGTTTGGTGTTGGGTTACTGGGACAGCAAACTTGACTTGTTTAGCTTTCTCATTAACACCCTGCAAGGTTACCACAGGTGGAAAAGTTGATCTTTGTGGGGACTGAGTAGATTTTAAGTAAATATTCCAATGGCTTGTGAATGTAGATGTCCTAGATGATCCACTGCTCACTGTTGGACAAATGCAGGGGCATTCAGAGGTACCTAGAGGAAATGTAATGCAAATGTCATGTGAATTATGATAAAAGCAACTAAAAGTGAGTTTTGCTGGCTTTTTGCTAATATTTTGCTAATTAAATTAATTTCGAGAGCCTGTTTTGCTCTATTTTGTTTTCTTTCCCTGTATTTAATGAATTCCTTTGTTTGTTTTTTACATTGCTGTCTGTGTTTTTTACATCTGTCAATCTGTGTGTATAACAGATGAGGATTTGTGACTCTTATGTTATTATACCATTAGGTCTTTAATGAGTGGGCCATTTTGATTCTAAAGATTCATTCAAAAACACAGATTAAATTCAAAAATGAAACAAATGACTGTTTATGAATCAGTCTTGAATCATTTACCAAAATAAACCTTTAAAAAGTTCTAAACAGATTAATTCAGGAACGAAACACCACTACTGTGTGTTGCTTGGAGGCACACAATGATTCTTCTTCGGCTTTCAGAACTATTTATGGTGGCAGTGCAAATGTAGACAAAGTAACTGGCAATATTGTGTCTAAAATATAAGTTACTCAGTATTAAATGGGTTATTCTCTGCTGGCATTATTAAAAGGGCCCTATCATACACCCGGCGCAATGCGACGCAAGTGTTTTTTGCTAGTTTCAGCCCGACGCAGTTTTCATTTTCATGTCCTGCGCCATGTTCTTTAAATAGCAAATGCATTTGCGCCCATGGGCGTGCTGGTCTGAAAATGAGGTGTGTTCAGGCACATTGTTGGCGCGTTGCTATTTTGAGGCAACTGAAATAGACTGCGCATTGACCAATGGCACAGTATTTTTTTGTTATTTAAAGAGCGAGTTAGTAATGTGCGCCTATAGGTGGGTCCACAACGCGCGTACACTCTGCTTATTACACACACAGCAGCAGCACACAAACATGCCAAATAAAAATATTGTGTACATAAAGACATGGTGGAATCCAGCTTGTTCCATAGATGGTCTGCTTGTGCGCTTTAACCTCGCTCACAAGCAGATCCGTTTGCGCTCTGGGGACGCGTTCAGTCTTTCCGTTTGCAAATTGCGCCATATAATAGCGAATCCGCCAAGGTGCGAGCGCAACTGGCTTTTAAAGGGAATGGCTAGGTGTTTTTAAAATCGATGCTACAGTACATGACAAAGAAATGGGCCATTGAATTCCCTTTTGCTTCAACCCCCATAACGCACTAGTCACAGCCCTTCTGTCAGTCCGACTGTCTGTGAGCGGGAAGTACAATCAGTAGTTTTAACAAAAGTGCTGCGTAGATCTGGGTGCAGGTAACATGGAGAAAGAGTACACAGTATTGATTTACATATTCTACAGACATTGTTGCAGCAATACAAAGCTTGTGCAATCTTGTGAGAGTGATTGCTTAATTCTAGATGATTTTACTGGACTTCACAGTTATAATACCTGCTGTTTGGCTGAGAGGTTCAGTGGAGGATTCTGGGTAATCCTCTGTGAACTCTTCTTCACAGTTCCAGTCCACAGGTTTGTCGCTCTGAGTCATTAGACCCATATACATGTGAATCACTTCCTCAGCTTTCTCCAAAGCTGCCCTCGGCAAAGTCATGTGCATTCTTATGAACTTCGTTGGGCTATCCTGTAAGGTGTAAAACAGAAAACAATTTAGGTATTGGGCTCTACCGTGTCTTGAACCCCTAGTGATTGGGTGTAGGTGGTAGTCTCCATGGGTCATTCATTGTAAAGTTATTTTAATGCAACAATTTCACCCATTTAAACCCATTTAATAACATCTACTGCCTTTTAAGGTTAAATCAATTGTGTTGGGGGTTTTTTGTAGCTGTTTTTTAAAAAGACGTGGTGCTGATGTCTGACACTAGGGGTTGCACTTGGGAGCCCCAAACACCTGTGATACTTTGAGAAAGGGTCAATGAGAATTGGCAAGTGGAATTTGCATGCCACTCCCCCATACATACGGGTATAAAAGGGAGACAGAGTGCATCACTCATTCAGGTTTTTTAGGAGGAGCCAAAACAGTGTCCCGGCCATTTCAGCAGTCATTTCAGCATTGTGGTAGGAGGGACACCACATATCGTTCCCTCCATCAGGGAACGGATGTTACAACAGTAACCAAGACATTACCTATCTATTAGTCACTTCGACGTAGTGTCGATGACTGACACTATGGGTCCCCCAGGGAAAATGCCACAACAGCTAAACCTTGTTACTAGGTTTTGGCAGTGCAGATGTCGGCAAGCCCTTGTGTGCCGGGTTACAAGCGCACTCGCATCATCGTAACCTACCCAGTCTTTTGACGTTTTCTCTCTCTTTTTTCCAATAAAACTCTAGCTGTGCAGACCAGAATTAGTGTTGGGGAAGCAGAGACAACATCCTGCCTTAAGGGAGGTTAATATGTGGAGAATACATCACATGGACTTACCAATCGGGAAGTTATACATGTGGAAAGAGGACCCTGCGGTAGGTCCTAGCTGAAGAGGGATGAACTACTACAAAGGAAGAGACGGAGCTCTGCCGACTGCGCATCTCTGCGTGTCTGTCCCTCCCTGCCTGGGGATGGATTCTCCACTCCCCCTGAAGCATAACTCATTGCGAGAGCGCATCTGCTGTGCAATTGAATTCACCTGGGATGTGAGTGGCCCGCAGCGACTTCAGTCACGGCTGACTCCAGAGGAGGAGAGACCAACACGTGCTTGCCCTGAATCAACGGTCAAAACCTCCGCAGGGTCAGCAATATCGCTACCAAAGCAACCTCTGTACAAAAGCTGAAGAATAAGCGACGACAAATCGGCATGATGGCCATGCGATGTGTGCAGCTGCGCAATGCCAATCTCGGTACTCAAGTCTGTAGCCAATGCTGAAACAGTCTCATACGCATCAACCAAAGCAATGTAACCGCCGCCATTGGACGCCATATGCCCCAGGAGCCTCTAAAATTGTTTCAGTGGAACCGCTGCTTTTCCCCTGAATGTCTTCAGGGAGTTTAGCATTGACTGCGCGCGGTCGTTCGTAAGACATGCTGTCATAGTGACCAACACCATGGAGTCCAACACCATCCAGAGAAAAGAGATGCTTTGCATCTTTGTGTGAGTTGTGTTCGAACATGCGGAGGTGGAAAGTCTGCGTCCATCATCTCCGGGCTGTGAACTGTGTGACCCAGAGAATGAGGAAATGGCTCTTTCTTTGAAAATTTGGTGGAACAAAAATAAAATTAAACCAAGGATTCATCCACCCAGCCCTCCACTGGATGAAGGACCGGTGCACCTCCTCTCATCTCTGGGTCTCATGTCTCAGGGACGCTTCGAAGCCTTCCTAGGGTTCTTAGCGCTCACCATTTCAGAGGATGAATGGATTGAACTTGTGTATAGACAAAATCACTCGGCTCCGAAGAACAAATCTGAATGGGTGATGCATGCAGTCTCCCTTTTATCCCCGGGGAAGTGGCATGAAAATTACTCTCTGCAATTCTCAATGGCCTTTTCTAAGAGTATCATAGGTGTTTGGGGCTCCCAAAAGTGACCCCTAGTGTCAGTCATCGACACCACATCGAAGTGACTGACAGATAGGAAACTGAATTCCTTATTACAAAAAACCCCCCAACATTTTAGTATGTACAGTCCAACCCTACCACAAGAAAAACTATTTTAATAAAGACCACTGTTGCCAAACCACTAGCTACTGTCCAAGACTCTTGGTTACTTGACTTTTTACCCTTGAAACTTTATACAGTTCAATTTATGTACATACAAAACAATGCCAACTGTTTCCTTTTGCTTAATTCGTGCACCGTTTTACCTCAACTGTTTTGTGATATTTGTCATTGAAAATACTTGATATATTCTATATCACTATCATTTGCAGCTCCACAAAATGATTACTCTTTCATTTTGCTCTTTTCATTTGTTTACTAGTGTTTAATTTATAGACATTTAGGCTGTTAAACACAGTCAAATATGAAACGGCAAAAATACTTTTCAATAACCCTATTTATAACTTACAGATAATTGCACCACAGCTCTCCTAGAGAATAAAAAAAAAATTTGTTACCTCCATCTCCTCATTGATTGGAGGGATGCATCTCTGGGAGTAAATGTTGTAGATCATGTTCTTCAGTGAATTAGTATAACGATAATTGTCGGAGTCCTTAGCATATCTGAATTGGGTGTTGAGTAGCTCCAGTATGTGAGGAAATGCTGCTTTAACATAACACACAACACTCTGAAACACACAAACATATGACAACCACAATGAACATTTGACATCACACACACACTGATTTTGTACACCCTATTGTATTCAGACCTGAGTCACAAAACACACAAGGCTATTTTTAATGTTATCATACACCACATTTCTATAAGTTCATTTAGAAAAGTATAAAAGTTTCTATACTTCATTTTGTGAGTTTTTATTCCTATTGTAATACAGCACACAAGCTTTCCAAATGGCAATGCTTGCAAATGTCATGGTTCATATCAAATGCGCTCTTTCGTAAAGCTTGTGCTCCATTTGAATGCTGATGGGGCATCTCAGATCTCTACAGAATGGTAAATGAGAGGAAATGTTCAAACATTCCCTAAAAGAAATGGTTACTGAACAGAATAAAAATATCAATCACCCAATTTTTTTATTTATTTACCTGTTTTGTTAATGGCATTTTCTGCAAAAAACTTCTCATCTAGTCTTTAAGTGGAGTGACGGTGGAACTTTATTCATAGAAATTTACAGGGAAATTTAAGTCCCCTCAGGGATAAGTTAGTCAAGCACACAATTTCAGCAAAATTATTGCTGGTTTTCCTTGTTTGGGAGCCTGAAATCTTTGAATTGTTAACTGTTAACTCTACTCTCAGTCGGTCATTCAAGATGCATTATTCAAATATAAAGGACATCAGGCCATATGTACAATTCCTGCTGAATAGCAGGGATCCCAAAACACGATCTGTGTCCAGAGCAGTCTTCAAGCTGTGATCTTTCAAACTCTTAACATGACTAATGGCCTTGTAAATTTCCAAAAGAACGTGTGACTATTTCACTGTTTTTGGTCTTCCAGTGGGAGCTCCAGGATTTTTTTCTTGACAGATTTTTTTTTTTAACTTCACATTTCAAAGGGGGGTGCTAAGGAAAGAAAACTTGAAACTTGTCGCCTTACAGTCCCATAGACATATAGGTGTCACTAGCTGTGTCCCAATTCAGGGGCTGCATTTTCCGAAGGCTGCATTTGAAGGCCCATTGCGTCACAGCAGCGCGACAAAGGCAATCCTCAAAGGGTCCTTTAATACGGCCTACCGCCAGTGTTGCCAAGTCCGAGGTTTTACCACGGAATTGGGCTACTTTTATGTTGTTGCTAGCTGTGATATAACTTTATATAGGCTAAGCTAGGCCCTATTTATAAATATAGTTATAACTGCCTAAAAACAAAACAGGGTCTAAAACCGATCTAAAAATGTTCACTATGGTCAATTTATGTAGGCTACATAATAAAGTCTAAAGGGTATTTAAACTATCCTATTTTTTTCCATTAGATTGCTCGATTAAATTGAAACCCAATACTTACATTTAAAAGTGTAATCTGTCAATTTTGTCTCCAGCGCGCAATGAATTCTGGGGTAGGCAAGGCTGCGAAGAATCCTTCTGATGAAGGACGCATTTGCAGGCTGCATTTTGAAGGACCTTCGAACTGGGACAGCCTTCGTCGCGCAGAGGTGACGCAATCGGCTATACTTTCCCCTTTAAACGATTTTCGGTGCACACTTCGAAGGACGCGGCCTTCAAAAGATGCAGCCCCTGAATTGGGACAGAGCTTATGTATTTATTATGTCCATGGATGGTTCCACCTATTGGCCAGAACAGATCATGAAGGAGGGGCTAAATTGATTTACAAATGTGTACAATGTAAGGAGCTCAGACAGCCAGTAGAGGAACAGAAAATGGCGGAGCTTCCTAAAGAGCGGGATGAAGCCTCTGCCCCTTTCGGGGGTGCTAAGCGCACTTCTGGTGGGGCCCCAGCAAGCAACCCGGCCTACCACCTCCACAGGCCAGTGGTCTCCTTCAATAAACGCTTCCTCTTCACACTTCACAGGCAACATGCTGACCTTTTGAAAGCCTTTAAAAAAAGACTCTCTTTGACCTGAAGAATCAGTAAAAATAGCTTAATTTGGTTAGGTTTAATGCCTTGAGCTAAAGAACTTCAAACTTCATCATGTGAAAACACTGGCAGTATAATTAAGGCTTGACAAATTCACACAGATGTGAGAGGTGATACTTTTGCGTGTGTTCATTTTAAGGTTTTGAAATTATAGTTGCTAGCTGACAAGCTGAAAAAAATTCTTGTCCACTTCCAAAGCTAATTTACTAAATCTGAACCACTTTGCCGGAACAATTAAATTCCTTTTTCCAAGGCTAACTGTGGAAAAATACTTAAAGTAAATAATATGGAAGCTAAAAGACAGGAATATGAATACATATTTATTTATATTGTTACACAACAAACTTGCAGGAGACAACAGCATCTTTACTCGTTATCACGTAACTTATTATGAGTGTGCAACCATCTCTCACGTTGCCCCAACATTTACTTGAGACTGTAAACCACGGAGGCCTGAACAATGCATTCCAAACTATTTTGGAGCTCTGGACCAGGTGAGCAAGTGGGCTGGTTTGAGGCAGTAATCCAAGTTAGGCTTATCCAGACCCACAAAACAAGCCAACGAAATAATATGACAACAAACACAATATACATATAACATAATGTCAACACTAGTTACGTATGGATCAGCATCTGTGCAATCCGTCAGTACAAACTAAATGAGTGTAAGGGAAAAAATTAAATGTCCAAACAAGCAGTCCCTGTTGAAGCAATAAAAATAAACCACAAAGACCTACAGGAGCCACATTCAAGTGAGAACAAGAAGCTAGACCTCAAGCACAAACATACAATGGTCACAGATACCACATTCCAAGACAAACCCCAGCTTCCACAAATATTTATTTATTACATACACTACTGTTCAAAAGTTTGGGTTCTTTTACAGCCACCAAGGCTGCATTTATTTAATCAAATATACAGTAAAAACGAATTATTCCCGTGATGTTAAAGCTAAATTGTGTCTAAATCAGTGTCACATGATCCTTCAGAAATAATTCTAATATGCTGATTTGGTGCTCAAACATTTCTGTTGTGCTGCTTAAAATTTTAACATTTCATTTCAGGATTATTTGATGAATAGAAAGTTCAAAAGAAATACCAAGTTCTGGCATGAAACTCTAGATGGCGCAGGCTGATAGGACCTTAGCTCATTTGGTAGCAATTGCATCGTCCAATGAGCTGCGGCTCAACATTCAAATACCAGTAGTGTTGCTGTTAGCAGTCTGCAGCGCACTTTCAGAAACCCTCCCTCTTCCCCAGCTCCAGCTGTATAGATCTGCTATTGGGGGTAATTTCATGTATGTTACATGTGCAGCAGCAGCACGTCTTGAATGTGAATTTATTGGCAGTATTATGTCTCGGTATACTTGCTCTGCAACAGCAGTAGCAGCAGCGTTGCAGATCTATTCCGCCAAGACCAAATACATTAACATTGCCATATCCATAACATTATCATGCCAATCTCTCAGATAGTTGTCATGACAGAACCGCCTTTATTTGACATAGAAATCTTTTGTAACATTATAAATGTCTTTACTGTCACTTTTAATCAATTTAATGTGCCCTTACTGAATAAAACTATAAATTTATTAATAAAAAAAAAAAATCGTATACTGACCCCAAACTTTTAAATAGTAGTGTATATAAATGCGTATATTGAAGAACACAAAAGGAACAAAGCAAGGAGGAACAAAGGCAGGCAGTTATTAACAAACAAAAGGAAACCGTAAATAAATGTCATGCCTTCACACCAGTAGGTGGCAGTATAAAGTCGAGAGGCGGTATTAACATTAAGTGACATGGCATCTGACGCAGAAGCCAATGGCACGTCACTATGCTCATTTGCACATCCGGTGGCTCACTTCATTGGCACGTGTCAGTGGATAGTAGCATGTGCCACTGACATTATCGCGGAACACTGACACTGTGCCTCGGAAAACGTCTCTTCGTATGTTGTGACACCTCCAGTAGTGACTGACAGATGAGCTCAGCAGCTATACTGACATAATTGTGACACCAAATCCTAAATAAATAACTTACTTTAGTGATATTTTTAAATAAATGTCAATTAAACGAATTAAAGTCGGTAATATTAATTCAAACATGTTGTCAGCTTGTGGCACATCAGTATCTGGTGGCATGTGCCACTGAATGTTATATGCAATGCCAATGATGTAATGCACATTCTAGGAAACACAAGGAATAAATCCGAATGCAATGATTAGACGAAAACATTTTGGTCATGAGCCTTCCACAGAAGATTTATGTACATATTTTAATATTTAGACCAATTCTATTATTGATTACAGATGAGAAGAGAGTTCCACAAGAAAAAGTGATTTAAAAAAAACTGCCTACTTATCCTTTAAACAAACACTCGCAAACTTCCCTAAGCACTTGGAAGGATATACAAATTTGTCATAGCAAAATCAAATCTCCAAAAATGACTTAAGCACCATCACATAATTGAAATATATAGTAAAGTAAAATGACGTTTAGAAAAGTGATCAGCAAGGAGAGACAGTAAATGATCCATGAGTTGACTCTTGGGTACTGTAGATTTAGACAGGCCAAAGGTCTCTTTTAAACAGGCCCTCAAAGCCGTTTATTTATTTAGCTCAAGAGGATGTTGAAATCATAATCCCCCATGCTGCAGTTGAGCTAGTAAGAGACAAGACCAGAAAGTGACCTCCAGGATAATTTCCCTAAGGATGAATTAAGCTTCTGCTTGTGCGAACTGTACAGTCATGTTCCAATAATTCAGAGTTCCAGCGCAACTACATTGGCTGCGTCATAAAAAATGTAACCATACCCATTTAATGCATCTGTATATAACCTATGGCAAATAACCAACAATGATACATCAATTATATAGCTGTTGAACTATATAGTGTTACTGTTAAACTGCCTAAACAGCTTATTTCATTGAACTGAGGTTTGCGTCAAATTGGTTTGCTGGCTCTCTGGCTTAAAACATGATCTTATAGAACATCTGTTTCAGATCAGTCTGAGTTTGTGGCATGGTAGGAAGATCTATTATACCAGAGTGTCAGGCTCTTTCAAATATCAGGCTCTTTTATATACTGTTCATATCTGTTGAAATACCCATAGGTTGGTTAATCCATACATGCCATTATATGAAAGGAGAGGAAATGTGCATACCAAGTTCTGGCGCTCAGTGAAGGCGTAGGTTAGAGAACAACCATTTTGCAGCTGATTCTTAATCTGCAAAGGAAAGCATTCAGTGAGAAAAAATGTAGTAGTTTTCCATCTGTTTAGCACATATTTATCAGCATCAAAATAAATCTTAATAAGGGCTTCAAAAGCGGTCAGACAGTTTTATGCACTAACTTTTTCTCATTAAAATGGCATTTAGATTATCAGGACTATTTAGTGACCTGCGACTGCATGCCAAATTCAGTATTAACTTCCACCAGCAGTCAAACAATCCAAATAAGTTATGCATGAGTGATCATTACAGACAGCTGTGGATTTCTGTGGGATTTGATTATAAATGAACTATAATAAACTATAATAAATAATTTTCCATGTAATTAAATAATAGAAGTACATTTTGGTCATTTCACAGGGGGATTTACTTGCCAGTAAAAGCTCATCTTACCAGACGTTTTATATTCAGGAGATGGTCCCGTGTGACCGAGTGCTTACATGGACCTGGCACACCAGCACAGACCAAATGAAAGCACAGGATAAGGAAGAAGCACTGATGCCTTATCTGTAAATCACAAATTAATATTTTTATTTAGTTTTATTTTCAGAATCATTCATTTATAAATACAGTAGAACATCTTTTTATTTTATGTTATATTTTATTTGATATTTATGGTAAATACAAAGACAACCAAAGTGCTGGACTGGAGGTGTATTGTAAAAAATATTTAGATGAAAAATAATTATCACATATATAATATAATAGTATATCAAATATTATCTGTGTTTTTTATGTTTTACGTTTGCTATATTTTTTCTCCTGACCATAGATGACACAAAATCTCATCTCAGCACATTTGATGAATGGCTAGGCAATTTTCAATCTTGTCATTTAATATGAATATCAAAAACATGCAGTTTTGAGGTTAATTGATCTAATTTTGTGTCTCTGAAAAACAGTGATCTACTGTATGACATAGTATTACATTGACCATCACGGTTTTTTTTTTTTTATTTGTTTACAGAATAAAATAACAAGACAAGCTTCAAACCCCCCACCCACCTCAATCACTGCATTCATACCACAATCACAACAACAATCATCCACACATTCATAGTGTTGTGACAGGAAAGCAAACGAGAAATGAAGCACAAAGCAAACAATACATCACATCAATTATAAATTAAAATAAATCAATAATACTGATCAAAAAATCAATAAACAAATACAATACAATTAGCAAAACATTTATAACATAACACATGGCACACAATTAAGTACACCTAATATGTATATCTCTAACTCAAGCAAGCAGACATTCCATTTCTTTTCATGCTCTGTTATTCTGTTGTTATTTGTTGCTATAATTGTTTGCAGCATAATACTGATGGTAAACTCTATTCTTAAAGTTTTTATACATCAATTCGATATAGTTTTAGCTTTTAAAATAAACATTTTACCCATCAAGATAATCATATTAAAAAAATGTGTGCATTTACCCTCAAAGACACATAACAAAATATTCTGAGGTGTGATTCGTAAAATAATATCCATAGACCTTAACCATGACTGTATACTGACCCAAAACTTAGCCACATATGGGCAAAAATAAAACAAATGCATCAAGTCCTCCTCCTCATCCCCACAGAACCTGCAACAGGGATCCTTTTCTATATGTCATTGGAATAAAGATTTTTTTGTTGCAATAATTTTATAAAAGATTTTAAGTTGAAATATTCTGGAATATGAATCAATTGTAGTTCTCTATAAATTGTTCTAAAGTAATCCTTCCACAAAATTGGATCATTAAATTCATCTTCCCCAAACTGGCAGGTTCTGTGTGGAAAAAGTGCAGTGCCTGTGATATTTAAATTCCAAATATATATTATTTTATTTATCTTTACACCAGGACAACCATTTTAGGCATCTTATTGGTGGTTATTTTTCTTACCATTTTGCAATTTTATTTTCCAAATTTTAGGAATTGCTGAAATCAGCTGGTTGAATTGTAACCGATTGAGAGAAATGCCCCAAAAAATTCTCAAATTTTCATAAGAAATAAAATCTCCAGATAAGTCTAAAAGGTCATTGGCAAAAATTGACCCATTTTTGACACATTCCTCCCACAACAATGGCTTGTCTCCAACCGTAATGTTTGAATTCATCCATAGCAACTGTGTCTGAATATCTTGAATTGTATCTGGAGGGTGGTACTGGAAATTCAACCAAGCTTTCAGTGCATCCTTGAAGAATGGTGATAACTCTTTTAAACTGTTTTGAAATAGTTTATCAATATGTATTGTTTTTAATTGGTAAAAAGGGAATATATTGTTCGAGAAGAAGGAAAAGGCTGAATATAATCTCTGGCTCGTGATCCAGTTTGTTGTGATAAATTTTAGCAACCCAGGAGGCTTTCAAGGAACAGACCATCATTTGAAGATTTTTTAATTTCAGTCCATTATCATAAGAATTATACAGGTTTATTGTTCCATATAAATTTGAAAAAAAAATTGTTCAAAATGTTTAAAGAACTTTATGCTAGGTGAAGGAAGAAGCATTAGTAAGTGGGGGCAAACTGTGGAATTACCAATGTATTAATCAGAGTTACTTTTCCTTGAATTGTCAGAGAGTTCCCCCTCCAAGGTTGTAAAATTCTATCTGCCTTTTCCATCCTTCTCTCATAATTGTATTTAACAATTTCTTTGAAATTATCAGGTAAATGAATCCCTATTAACTTCTCCATTAATCCATTTAACAGGAGCAGAACTGTTTAAAATAAAATCGGTGTCTTTTAATGTCCCAATCCGCAAAATTGGGTTTCAATCCAGATATTTTAGAAAAAGTATTTAATTCCTTTACTAGTCCTTCCAAAGTGGATTGTGTTGGTTTTATGAAAAAGGTTGCATCATCAGCATACATTGTCAACTTAATCTCTTGACCGTTTGGAAATAGACCTGGTATATCTGGATTGTTCCTAATTTTAATAGCCAGAATTTCAATACATAAAATAAAGAGATATGGTGACAAAGGACACCCTTGACGGACTCCTTGCGTTAATAACCATCAAGTTTTTTTTTTGTGTCTGTTTGTAAATGAGGGATTTGTGGACAGGGTTTTTAGAATTTTAAAGTAAAAAAAAAAAAAAAAAAAATCAGTGTAGTGATGGAGAAGGTAAAATGGTATACAGTACAGATTATAATTAAAATAATATAAGACATCACTTAATCAATAAAACAGCCAATGCGACTTGTCATTAGTAATGTTGTTGAACAAATACACATTGCACTTGGTGCACTCACTGTATATCTTATTAAGAAAATATAACATAAACAGCTTGATCTAATTTTTTTTCAGCTTACATGCAACTTCGAACACATCCAAAGATACTTAATATGATTTTAACAAGAGTGAGAATTCCCCTGGAGCAACCCGGTGTTGAAAGGCTTGAGAAGGGGGAATGTTGATGGAAAAGGAATGTAACCTCAGTAACTCCCCAATTCTCACTAAGTCACTCCAACCTGGGTTTAACCTGAAAACCTTATGTTTATAATTCATATTCATAGATCTTAGCCACATACAACACAACAGGGAATTATCACATAATACAATACACTGTATTATAACAATTATATAACAATTAATATAGCAATAAAGAGGGGCTAAGTACTTCTCAACCTCTCAGAACCCAAATTCCACAAATCTCTGGAGTGCAAACACATTGAAACTATAAAACGGTGTAAGGGAAAGTGTTTATAATGTTGGCCAGATCAGTATACTAGTAAAGCAGGAAACAACAGATGACTATGTCTTTGCTCATCTTCATCCAAGCCTATCTCCACAGGAGATCTGAATGGACTCATAGTCATGTGTGACAGATGTGTTTCAACCTCTTAGAGTATGATAAAAGCCAGACAGCATGTTAGCAACATCTTGAAAAAATCTTACAAGCTTCGTCATGCAGCACTGCCTTATCATAGACAGAAAGTGTCGAACAAGGCACATCTATGGGAAGTAACTGCAATTATTCTGTCTCAGATTCAATTTAATTATAGATGTCTATGTGACAAATGTTGCTGAACTAGGCAATGAAATACCAAAATCAACAAGGAAATGTAAGCAATTCAGACAGTCTGTCTCCATTTCATGCTTTTGATCTAACTAATGAATAAATAATCTAGAATAAATATACTGTATCCTTTTTGTGTTAAAAGCACCTAATAAATATACTGATAAATAAATAATTTAGGGTGTCAAATTTTTTTTTAAATAGGAATATATCCTTCAGGGTCTTGAGAATACTAATAATATATATATATCTCATTAAAGGTGTTGAAAATAAATAAATAAACATACCATATTATTCAGGGTGTTGAAAACTCATAATAAATCAGCATACTAATAAGTATAATATATCAAATATATATCATTCAGGGTGTTATTAAAAATTAATAAATATACTAAAAAACATAATTTAGGGTGCTGAAAATAAGTATATAAAAATGTATTGTTCATAGTTAAATATACTAATAAATATATCAGTCAGGGTATTGAAAACGAATAAACATAACATTCAGGGTGTTCATAATTAATAAATATCCTTATAAATATAACATTAAGTCTACCATTAGAAAACCTTGATCTTTTTAACAAAACTGTATGTAATCCAACATTAAAAAAAGAAAAGAAAACTCCTTTCCAAAAAAGCTTTAATGACACAGCTGTATTTAAAATCCTCAGAAATGCTGCTTCCTGCCATGTGTCTGTGAAGTCCTGGGGTATTTAGCCAATAAAGCATGCGGTGATAACAGGTCTAAGAAGCCCTAAGACCCCATAAAGTGCAGGTTTCTACAACCCGATCTTCAATGGCTGTATACGTGATCAAATAAAAAATAACAAGGAATAAATGTGGACACAGCAACTCAACAATCAACAATCATAGAGCCAGAAGAACTGGCTTTTTTTTTTTTACTCAGCAGTTGCCTAAACGGACAGCCAACAGAAGCAATGAAATTTCACAGACCACAGTTTGCTTCAGCATGCTCCACGGCTCAAGAAATTTGCCCCCAGTTGTTTAATGGTTTGGCATTCTTACATTGAAATAGCTTGATGGCCATAAATCAAGGAATAGAAAAGGTCTATGGGAAAGGGTTCAACAAGAAAGGAAAACAGTGTTCTGAAGTTTCACAAAAGGAAGATCAAGGCTCCTCAGAGATCATATCTATTTCTAATGAAATACATTAATCATGCAGAGGCAGAAATTGAAAGCTGGTTTGCACAAAAACATCAATTGAGCTTCAATTATCAAATGGCATGAACATTAACTACTACAACAAGCATATGTCAGAGGAGACCAGAAGTCTTACCTTGGCTTTGTGGGCTGTTATGTGTGTGTTCATCTGGCTGGACTGAGCAAGTAGAAAGCAATAAAGTTCACAAGTAGATTCATTGGATTAGTATTTTTGTTTCGCGTTTGATCCTAATGAAGATAGTGTCTTGCCCTCTGAAGATCTCTGCACGATTCAAGCATCCAGGCTGTCTTGAAACAGATCTTCGTGTGAAACAGTTGAGACATGCCACCTTGAGAGGGTGAATGTTTCTGCCTGAGGACTATGGTAGACAAATAAAGTGAGCTTTAGTAAAGACCTCCTCCTCCTCTTTTCCCACTGCTGGGCTTATGAAAAGACCTCTCTCACTTTCTCTTTACTCAGACCATTCTATTGATGAAGGAAGTTTTAGCTCACCTCAGGCCAATATATGAAATACATGTGTTTTTACCACTCAAAAGTTACATTTGTGGATGAGTTGAAAATCCTACCGGGATGGTGAATCATCTGCTCATTCTACAAGATTTGATGATGTTTAAATACAAGTTTCCATATAGAGAGAAACCTGCTGGTCTTTAATCTTGATCTTGGCAAGAAACGGAAGTTATGTTAGCCTTTTCTTTCCTATTGTGACGTAGATCCGAGTGAAAGAAAAAATGTTGGTAAACAACAGAGAAGAGAAGATATGTCGCTGACAGAGGGATATGCAAAAGCACAAATGAACACTTTAAAGAGCTATGTTGGATGGGAATAGGGCTGTCACTTTTGTGAAAAAAAACCTGTTCGATTTTTGAGACATAAGTGTTCATTGAATCAATTGTAAAATCGATTTTCCATGTCTAAAGACGTTTCCATTTTTTACGGATTTAGCGCAAATACGCAACTCGTGAGTCCTCATGATATATTAAATACAACGTATTGCGCAGAATCTGCACATTTCTGGCTTACTTGAACATACACGTCACCACGCAACAAATAACGGCGCGCTTGTTCACTTGCATTGAAGTAATAGCGAATACTAAAAAGCATTTGGTTAACAGAAAAGACATTGTTATTTTCCAGCATCCCTCATGTTCTGTGTGCTGTATTGATCTGTCCACCTAAAACACATTTTTGGTTAAAAAAGAAAAAAGGCCGTTAAAATCGATTCCCTATTTTTCTTTTTCGAAACTTGTGTTGGTTGGTCCGATCGATTGTGCAATCGATTTTCGAACGTAAAGTGACAGCCCTAGATGGGAATAATAGCCTACCTTTTTTGTTTTTTTGTCAGTTTTTTAAAGCTTGACAACATCTGTCCCCATTCACATTTATGTATTATGTATTATAACTGTGTGGATATCATTCAAAAAAAATTATCTTGTGTTACAAGGAAGACTGAATTCAAAGAATTCACTTGTCTTCACTTGTCTACATAAGTTTCTTTCTTCTTCTGAACACAAAAGAAGATATTTTAAAGAATGTTGGTAACCAGATAGTTGACGGTGGCCCATTGACTTCCATTGTATATTTTTCCTACTATGGAAGTCAATAGCTACTGTACCATCAACTGTTTGATTACCAACATTCTTTAAAATATCTTCTTTTGTGTTGAACATAAGTAGGAACCTCAAACAGGTTTGGAACAACTTGAGGGTGAGTAAATGATGACAACATTTTTGGGTGACCTATACCTTAAATGTCCTTTGGTGCACAACATGTCCTGTTTTGGCTTTAAAGTTGTTTAAAAAAATGTTCGATTGATCTTGGAAATTAGTCAAACTTATTAAGCTGTTTTCAGGGATTTACTTAATCACCACACTGGCCAATATGTGCTCATGGTGTGGTGGTTGTGGTAACGGGCCAGATTAATGGTTTGGACTGCTACGCTCTCAGAAGCCTTGGGCATTTGGCTTGGCTTGTCTTGTCTTGACTTGTCTTCACTTTCTCTGAAGGTGATGGGAGATGTTCGCCACACATTATAGATACTGTTTTTACAAAGTTTAAACAACATTCTCCCCAGCTGCGCCTGTGAGAACTGGAACACATATTTGTCCCAGATATATTTGAGTAAGAAAACAATTCAAATAAAATATCATTACACAACACTATCGAATTATCGTCCAAAAATAAAGGTTTGCCTGATCATGCACAATTAATATACAGTATGCCATTAGCCATTAAGCTGTGCAGGAAGGATAACCTTTGACTTGTTATCTAGAGAGATCTCCTTCAGACGAAAATACCTCAAATAGACAAGACTTTACTTTTACTTATCTAATTAAATTGGTTCTAAACATCAATTCTGTCTCTGCTAGAAATGTGTGTCATTGGTCATGAAATAAGCGGATTCATGGCAATTATATATCAATTAGGTGATCAATGACACATTGTTCTGTTCAGACATCCAGTCTTAACTGAAGCACACATAAATGCATAAAGGATGGGAAAGTGTGTGGTTATATAAACAAGCTGAGATGCTGCTAAAACAGGGATTTATCACATAATCTTATATAATACAATATTCTCTATTATAACAATTATATAACAATTACTATAGCAATAAAGAGGGGATAAGTACTTCTCAACCTTTCAGAACCCAAAGAAAAATTCCACAAATCTCTGGAGTGCAAACACATTGAAACTACAAAACGGTGTGTCTCCGCAAGAAACGGAAGTTACGATAGCCTCTTCTTTCCTATTGTGACGTATATCCGAGTGAAAGAAAAAATGTTGGTAAACAACACAGAAGAGAAGATATGTCGCTGACAGAGGGATATGCAAAAGCACAAATGAACACTTTAAAGAGCTATGTTGGATGGGAATAATACCGTTTTGGTTTTTGTCAGTATTTTGAAGCTTGACAACATCTGTCCCCATTCACATTTATGTGAAAAATTAAGATTGGAGCAGTTCACATTTTTATGTTTTCTATTTAATATTGAACTGCCTGTCATTTGAGATCTGGGACGTGAAAAAAAAAGAGAATTATATTAGTCATTACAACCACAAATTTAAAATTATTTGATAAAGAAACATGTAAAAAAAAAAAAAAAATCTAGATAGATAGATATAACAGCTTCAACATGGAGTCAAAGCAGAATTAGAAGTACTATTCTGTGTGACAGTAAAATACTTTATGCACATCTCCCATATGAATATCTTCACACCCCAGTAATCATATGCACATGGGTCACACATGTGTCGTCTCTTTCAAGAAGCAGAGAGTGAATCCATTACAGGCCCAAAGTACATGTCCTGTCAGCAGATCACTGCTCTGTTCTTCCTTTGGGGCACTGAATGGGGATATACCATTAAAACTGGATCAGCTAAAAACAATGATTTACTTAAGGTGAGCCTGGTTATTTCACATATGCAAGTAGCAACTCTAAGTAGACACTTTTAAGCACATGCTTTTAAAAGTAAGTGACTAAGATAATAGAAAGTGACATAATTCTGACAAAACCTTACATTTTTGTGGACAAGCATTGGCAATGTAATCAAACTTTTTAATGATTGTACATTAACATGTCACAGATGTTAACACGTCAGTTTCCCTATAGTTCTGACGTTTTGAGCTTACTCTTCATGTGATCTTTATGATAAAACATTATTTGGCATACAAAAAAAAGCCTTAAACTATGCACATAATTGACATGTGGATTTAAATGTTTTCAAGCTGCCTTAGTAGTAATGTCCAACATTACAAGTTAAGTTCACTCAAACTCATTTGAGTGAAGAGCAAACTTTAAAATGAATTTTGTTTTGTCCAAGTATGGGAATCTAAAACATCGCAACAAACATGTAGCCAATGGATCATCTTGTGCAATGAACTGGTGAAATGTATTTGGCAAAAGATCTTTCCATCACCATCCTTGTACTAGTTGGATGTTGATTCCCTTTGGAGACTTGGATGGATTTATTACTTTACTTCATTAAACTGTAGATGTTTCACACATGGCTTTCAAAATGACATCTAGCTTAATGATTTTAATTATTCCAGTACTGTTAATAAAACATTCATTCAAAGTTATCTGGTGTTTAATAATGATCTCTAAAAAATGTAAAACGTTTAAAAAAACTGGACATTTTGAACATTTAGAGAACTTAATGGAAGCATTAGCAAAACGTTCTTAGAACATATTTTTGTCAGCTGGGTTGAGTCATTCCGACTCTCTGACACACTCTTGCCCCTTTAACCTTATACCATCTGATATTCTTTTGCCTTATTAAATTTCTGAAGTAGAGTGACAGTGTCACAAGACTTCCCAACATTGTACGTTTCAGAGACTGTAGCACATAAAGGGATAGTTCACAAACAAATTTTTGACATCATTTACTCACCCTCATGTTGTTCCAAACCTACATAAGTTTCTTTCTTCTTCTGAACACAAAAGAAGATATTTTAAAGAATGTTGGTAACCAGACAGTTGACGGTGGCCCATTGACTTCCATTGTATATTTTTCCTACTATGGAAGTCAATAGCTACTGTACCATCAACTGTTTGATTACCAACATTCTTTAAAATATCTTCTTTTGTGTTAAACATAAGTAGGAACCTCAAACAGGTTTGGAACAACTTGAGGGTGAGTAAATGATGACAACATTTTTGGGTGACCTATACCTTAAATGTCCTTTGGTGCACAACATGTCCTGTTTTGGCTTTAAAGTTGTTTAAAAAAATGTTCGATTGATCTTGGAAATTAGTCAAACTTATTAAGCTGTTTTCAGGGATTTACTTAATCACCACACTGGCCAATATGTGCTCATGGTGTGGTGGTTGTGGTAACGGGCCAGATTGATGGTTTGGACTGCTACGCTCTCAGAAGCCTTGGGCATTTGGGACTATGTGTCCAAAAATATTTTCTCTAACCTCAAACCCTTTTCCCCCACATTGTATGTAGTAGCAGCAACCACGTGTGGCCCACTATAGTCTTCTATCAAATGGCAGCATTCATTGGTCCCATGAGAGTGGGGCCAGCCCATAAAAATATCATGAATTTTAACATCTAGTCGGTCCACAGTCTAATTCTGCTCTTTTTGGTTTTAAGCTATTGTTTTTGTCTGGCTTTTATTATGAAGTTTTGTCTGTGGGTCATAATTTACTTGTGACCGATTTCAGATGCATATCAGATGAAACTGCAAAGTTCACTTGTTCATTATTTCCTATATAGTGAATGGCACATGTACTATATGTAGAAAAGAGAAATGAAATTGAGTGAACGGATTAAGATGCTGACGTACTGTAATCTGTGTGTGCCAGAGAGCAGAAAAACAATGACGATAATAATAACTTTATATGGTATGATGAAAATAAATTAATAACTTGTTCACATGTTCTCATATTCATGTCATATTTAATATATAGTTCATTCATTTTAATAGAATAATAAAAATAAAAAAACTACAAACAAGAATTAACACAATGATATAATTGTATTATTTTTTACTTATAAACTTGCCCTAAAAAGCCATAAATAGAGCAAATACATAATAGAGGAAAGCTGTATTCCTTTCAGGGTTATCTGGTATGTTTATTTTTAGTTTTCTCCACATGGTATCTGTTTGTGTTTTCACCTTGGTTAGTTTTTCTTCATGGTTGTTAATTTGATTCATTACTCAGTTCAGGTGTTCATGTCACATTATCCTCTAACTACTTAAGTTCAGTTCAGTTTGTGTTCCGTGTCGGGTCTCGTCTATGTGTAGTTGTGTTTGGATGTACCTCTTTGGATTACCCTGTTGGAGCATTAAAGGCTGTTAACTTTCATCGTCATCTTCCGTATCTCCCTCACAACCCGTGACAGAAGACCCGACCCAAAAAGTAAAGTAAGCGGCGATTCTTTGGTGTTTTTTTTTTTTTACGTATCGTTTGTGTTTTTTTGGTTCATCATGGACTTCCCTGCTGTCAAGCTGCTTTGCCTTGAGCAGGGCGACAGCTCCCTCGAGGAACGCCTGGAGGTGTTCCTGGATCTGGCATATCAGACCACTTTCCTGGACAACTGCTTCTGCACGTTTCTACGTGTGGAACTTAACAACACCACCTTTTCGAGGGAGCTTTGCCGACTTTGTTGAGTGGGTGCTGGTTTCCTTTGGATCGTCCTTCACCAGCCCCACTTCCAACCCAGTGCCCAGCCAGAACCCATCGGTAGGAATTAAGCAGTTTGAGCCCACCTCAGACTTCGAGCCCATCTCTGCCGCGAGCCCACGCCATTGAGGGCGTGCGTGCCCAACATCACCGCGGAGCCTGAGATGCGCGAGTCTGACCAGGTGCGCGTGTCGGCTGCATCATCCACAGCTGAAGGAGCTTTCGTGGAATTGGAGCACTGAGTGTAACACTGCCCACTGCCCTCTGGACCCACACCGTCATCGGAGGAGGTCGTCGTTGATGCTCAGTCCCGGTCGCCAGGGCCTTCGTCGTCACTCCCTCGCCTCGGACCTTCGGCTACGCGTTGGGTTCTCACTCCATCGTCATCGCCTCCGACTGTCGCTCTGGTGGTATCAGGACTATTACCACCATGGCCCCTTCCTCTGTTGACGCCACCATGGAGCACAGTTCTGGCTGTGGCCTGGGCACCTGCCATAACACCTCTGCTCAAGGCTTTCATCACCGTCTGCAGCACCCTGGACCCTTCAAGGGGTCGCGCCTACCAGTAGATGTAAGCTACCTCTTTGAATTACCCTGTTGGATCATTAAAGCATGTTAACTTTCATCTTCATCTTCTTTGTGTGTTTTGTATCTCCCTCCCAACCTGTGACAATAATATAAATCAGAGTGAATTGTATAATTACACCTCACAGAATAACCAGCACCTGATTTAGTGCACTATATAGGGAACAGGGAGTGATTTCAGCTGCGTCTGTCACCTCATGTAATTGTGCCCAGATGTTGTTTGATCATGATTTAATGTACTCTCCAGTTTCCTTAATCAGCTGTTAGGTCTTGCTTTACAGGATTGTTATGTTGGTATGTTCAGCTTTTTTAGTTCACATCTTGAATTTAATTCAATTTAGATCATTTCAACCTTTTGTGTGTGAGAATCCCAGGCAACAAGAAACCAGGTCTGACGTAGTTCCTGTGACGCAGGGAGCCCATTAAACATGTATTTACACTGCTCAGAGTATTGGGTCTGGGGCCCACCCTTATAATTTTCTCTGGGGCTCCATGAATTCAGGGTAACTCATAAATATTTTGTCCTGGGCCCCCCGAATTCAAGCAAACTACACTCCAATCTGGCAGCAGCTACATCTGCTACATCTGGTCATCTATCTTTCCTGTCTCTTCCTTTGAAAGGTACACCCCTAGTCGAAAGATTTCTCAGTCTTTTCCTCACACCTGAATGTACTTGAAAGCAGAAACTCAACCACAGAGTAAAGGTCTTTTTTTGTGAAGGACGAATAAAGAAAATCTACTCATGTTTCTCCCATGATTTTGTGTGAGGAATCCTCAAGCCTTGCATGACAGATATGGTCCATCATCTTTGGTCATTTTTACTCTGAACACACATTTTGAATACTGAATGAAAAAGAAGTCTCTGCTTTCTAATTTCTATTCCAAACCATTGTCAATATATGATTATTTAAATGGTGGCTGTCATAAAAAAAAAAACATTTTGACAAAATGGCCTCTAATGATTTTTTTTTTTACATCATTTGAATTTGACACAATTAGAGATTTACTGAAAGACACATTAAATAATTAACATCAACAAACAGGCTAAGTAAATATTATAGTGCAAATCTCAGTCATCAAAAAAATGTAAAAGAAATAACCAGTAGCGGAGTGCAGCCTTACCGAGGGACTCAGGAAGAGTTTAGACTGCACCTGGACGTTTCTGAATGGTTAGTGGATACATTTATATAGTTGTTGTGTTAAATTGATTCATCTCATCGACTTGCATGTACCATCATGTTAAACTTTTACACAAGTTGACACTTTATAAGACCGCTGTGACATTTTTTTGTCAAATAGTGTTCTGTGCTCGTCTGTGCAGCCAACGACAGAACAGTTTGCATGCTTTGCTCGAACTTTTGCCACTGAGTTAGAACTGGTTACACTGTTGTCGCTTGTGAAAACCAA